GCAAGCACGGTGAAGCGTGTGATTGTGAGTGCCACACGTGTGCCTTTTCATGAGCAACTGTCCTGGAGGTGATTGTCGTGGTCCGCCGACTAGCATGACTGCAAGCCCTTCATGTTGAATTGTGAAGGTCGAGGTCGTGAACATGAAGTTAGGATCTCGGCGGACTTGCGGTTTGGCCACTGGTTTGAAACGCGCACAGTAGACAAACGGTTCTAAAAGCAGTCGGGTCGGGATACAGGTTTTTTGCCACTCCGTTTTCGGACGGTTTCCGGGTTGCAACCTCCCGCTGGTGGCATGACTGCTCGCTTTCCGGACTTGCAGCGAGCCTCAATTGTTGAGAAGCATGGTTTCACAAAGTTCGGATCCCGACGGACTTTAAGTAATGTGTACCGGCAAATCCATCTACTCCCAAGACCCCGCTTCGAAAACATCAAATGTGTTGTCATTGCCAACAACATTTATGACGAGCCTCATAGATTTTCCACTTCAACCCTATGAGCTCCAGTCATCGATGGTTGCCCCGCGGAGACGTCGCTTTGGAAAAATTACATTCCTACAACATCACGGTCTGACAGTCGTTGTTGGCGACTCGCAGCGAAAAAGAAATCGGTGGCCTCGACCCCTCTAAACTCCCGCTCGCCAATCATGTCCTTCCTCCCGTCTCAACCAAAGTTTGCCAGCATCCGAATTTCCACATCCACGGTTGTCGCCTCAACGCCACAACCCTGCTGTTCTCCAGGTCTGGCAGGAGGTGCAGACGACGAAACCGTCTGTCGGTGGCACGACTGCTCGCTTTCTGCACAAGCAGTTAGCCTCAATTGCCGCGAGCCTGGATTTCATAAAGTTTGGATCGAGGCGGACTTAAAGTAATTTGTGTCGCCGAATCCATTGCCTCGCAAGACCCTAATTCAGCAACATCAAATGTGGTTGTCATTGCCAACAACGTTTCTGTTGAGCCACGAAAATTTTCCACTCCAAGCCTGGCGTGCCCTAGTCACCAACGGTTACCCCATGTTTCGTGGAGACGTCGCTTTGCAAAAACACATTCCTGCAACATCACGGTCTGACGGTCGTTGCTGGCGACTACCAAAAAATAAGAAAACGGTCGTCTCGTCTGGTAAGGGTCTGATTAGGGCCCCGACAACCATGTTTTTCTTAGTCCTCTAAGATGTGAGCCTGGAGTGGGAAACAACGCGAATCCTTCTGCTAAGGCGGGGAAAACCGCGGGATAGCATGTCGTTTAGGGGGTGGTTGAATCGGGTTTTGTGGGGGTTGTTGAAGGAGCCTATAACCTTGTTTTTTTCTGATCGCGCACGATTGTTGAATGGCCTCCCGACAGTGCACTCTTCGTGATCCTGGGACACAGATCGCTGACAAGTTCAGATCCCGGCGAACTTCGAGGATCGTGCTTGTTGTGGCCATTCGGGAGATCCGCCATGTATTTGTCGCGGTTGACACACGACCGTAGCGAGGACTGGTAAGTAGAGACTGCCAACGCACGTGTGTGCGTTGTCGATTTACAGAATGGGGTTTCGTGGGAGATGCATAACTGCACTTGGAACTCTGGTCGTTTTCTGTACTGCCACCTTGTCGTTGGAGTCACAGAATGGGGGTTCCTGGGGGATGCATAAGGAGCATTTCCAGCACACGACCTCGCCTTGTCACTAGAGTTAATCGGGGTGTATAGGGGGTCACTTGTGGGACCTGGAACCATGATTTTCATTTTCGCAACCAGACCTGGGCTTGCCGATGATGGTAAGCTCGACCTTGATCTATCTCTTCTGCCGCAAACCTGTCGACCTGTAACCGTTCGAGACGCTGTTGTGGTCATTCATGTACTTCGCCTGCGAAGAACACGAGTTTCGAAGTCGCGGGGATTGCCGAGGCTTGCAGCCTCAGCACACATCCTAGCATTGGTGGTGGAGTTTATCGGGGTTGATAGGGGTCGCTTGAGGGTCATTCAACCATGTTCTTTTTCATCTACGACCACTCATGGCCTTCTATTTGTGATGACATTTGTCCGATAGTCATTTCATTGCAACTGAGGAATGTCAGTTCGTCATTGAATTTGTTACCGTACAACTTCGGATCCCGGCGCACTTCAAGGATCCAAGACCGTCGGACCGTTCCTTGCACTCGCCTAAACCACGCCTTCATGTTACAGTCGTAGATGACGCACAGTCGATGGGCGTTTATCATGCACTTTGACATTGGGGATACGCGCGGTCCCACGTCACTATCGGACCCGTGCGAGGATCTGAGCTTTGTGTTGCCGAAGGGGGGGGGGGGGGGGGG